CCCGTGCGGCGGAGCCGCACGGGAGGGATAGGGGGGGAGAGGGGAAAGCCTCCAGGGAGCCTCCCACTTCAAAACCGGTGTGGCTGCTCCGCTGTCACCCGCTCCCCCCCCCCCACGCGCACATAAGGTCTCACCGGGACGCCCCCGGTGTGTGAGGCGGCGGTGCCGCCCTCAGCCTTGGCGGGCGCAGCCCGCCGGCGTCCTCCTGTGTGTTTATTGCTTTAAATGCCCCTCGTGGTTCCTTTAGCTGTTGCTGGGTTTTGGGTGCCGGCGTGCTTGCGGGCCGGCAGCTGCTCCCTCAAGAGAAGGTTCTGCTGTTCAGCAGCGGCTCTGGCAGGGCGGCGATTAATGCCCGACGCGCATCCGAGGGTGTTCCCATCCTTACCTGAGCCTGCTCATCCTTATTTTTGAACCGGTTTAGCGCCAGTTTTCAACGCTCAAATCTTGTTAATGTGTCTTGCGTTTTCATACCTCGTTTCCAGCACGAAGGGGAAAAAAACCCACAAACCCAACCCCCAAAGTCCCGCAATTCTCAAGGGCTAAGTGTTATCATACAGTCACAGAATCGCAGAATGGTTTGGCTTGGAAGGGTCCCGAAAAGTCGTCTAGTTCCAATCCCCCCTGCGATGGGCAGGGATGTCACCCACTGGATCAGGTTGCTCAGGGCTCCACCCAACTTGGCCATGTTACCTGTTGAGAACCAGGAAACCTGAAAAGTCACGAAGTTGTATTAAAACCATAATCACTCGTAAACAAGCTGGAAACCAAACTCCACTTCCTTACTCAAATAAAATCCTTTAGGCCAATTCACTGGTGACATAAGCTGGGTGTGCTGGCAAAGCCTTCTCCTTGGTTCTCTGTTGCTCAATCCAAATATCTGTGTGCTACGAGGTTGAGTTGAGTAATACCTGTTATTCAGCATCAGGAGAGCAGGGAAAATGAGCCCAATTAATCTCTGGTAGTATTTGAAGTAGAACAGGTGTAGAATCTGAGCTGGAGCTTAGCTTGGCAACAGATACTGTTAACTTAAGGGTAAGAAAAAAGACCCACAAACACTACAGGGACAGCTGTAAGATACTACAGCTGTCAAAAAAAACCAAAACACGAAACCAAGAAGTTCAGAGTTAACTTGAAAATCGAGTCCACTGTGTATAAAATAAAAATAAATTGCCCAATTAAACTGCTCAGATAACTTGAACCTTTCTCCTCTGTCCTCCAGTTTTCTGTTTGCTCCTCACAAATGTAAAGTCTGGTTCTAGAAATCCCCGTGCAATTACTGAGTCACTACAGTCTAGTATAAATTGTGTTGATCAAGGGCTTTTTTACAAGAACTTAACAAAGGTCAGAGACTGTTGCCACCAACATCTTAATTATCTAAATTGTGTTTGTAAAGTACATTATACTGGAATGATATGTTCTTTTTTTTTTTTTCAAAAGGACTTTGTAGTTAATAATATCCATAAAAAAATTAACCTTGAAGAAGGTGCTGGATTGTGTAGCTTGTATACCCGTGGACTATAATGCTCTGCCTTTTGTGATAAGTACTAAGAATGTTTTAATTTTTTCAAGTTCACTAGTACAAACTTTCTCCTTTTTTTATTTATTTTTCTCGGTATCTTCTGGAGCCAGATGGGAAGACGAGTCCACTCAGGAGCTCAAACAGAACTCTGAAAGTAAGAAGACCTGAAAGCAGGATGCCAGAGACACATTTATGGAAAGGGGTAAAGTGAGACCTTAACTGGGCAGAGAATCATATGAACAGTGGAAGGAGAAAGAAAGTTTGGAGGTATGAGAAGCTGCAAAGGTGCTCAGATACACTGGGGTTTATGAGAAAGAGAGTGGGGGAGGAGAAGTGAAGAAGTGAAGAAAGGCAGTTGGTATTGCAGGCTTATATGATGGAGTAGAAAAAACAGAGGGATGACAAGACAAGCAGTTGCCACAAATAGCAGAGGAGCAAATGTGGAAGAGCTGGAAGAGTTATCTGAAAAGCTGGAGGCATACAGACGGCTTGCAAGCACATGAGGATTTGGGGAATGCTGAAAGCACGAGCAGCTGCAGATTAGCAAGATCAGGGGCTCCTGTGAGCTGGGAGATCCAAGGTCTCAGCAGGGGGTCAGTGCTTTTGTTTACACAGCGCTGTGGGTGGGAGGGCAGGCAGTGCCCACTGCTTGGGATAAGGGATCAGTCTCCCCACAGCGCGGGACCATTCTGCCTGAGCCTGGTCACAGCGATCACTGTGTAGATGTGGCAATTTCTCCCAAAAAGCCACAGAAAGGTCTGAAAATCTACAGCCCTGATAAAAATTAAAATTGTTAGCTAGAACTGTGTAGTTGCAGGGAGGGTAACTCTAGCACAGAGGCCTGGAAATAGTAATCTTGTTTGCATCCAGATGTCCAAGTGTGCATACTCCTTATTTAATGAATGTGTGTCAAGTAATAGAACTGGCACTGAGAAACAAGTGGTTGAGAGTTACAATGTTTCGTTGAGTCACTGAATGTGCCTGTGATCTCAGAGCTAAGAACAACCTGGACTTGTGGGGATGATTCCAATCACAACCTTACTATTAGATATGCAATTACCAATCTTTAATTACTAGCTAAATTTTGGAACGTTGACTGTTCCTCTGTTTACAGTGAAATCTAAATATATCACTAACTTGTGACAAAATGAAAAAGAAATGAATTCTTTAGGGAATAAAATATATCTTCAAATATTTTCTCGGAAAGAGTAAGAATAAACCCCCCCTCATGTTTCATCAAGAGCAAAAGTTATTGTTAAATAACTTGTTAAATGCTCTTACTGTGAAACAAAAATTATTGTTAAATAATAATTGCTCTTACTATGAAACAGCACAAATAGCAGCAGAAGGTTTATCACAGTGGCATCTCCATAATAACTCAACAGTCTTAAAGACAGCAAGGCAAAAAGGAAACTTTTTACTAAGAATTCTGGATTAAAGATATCCTGTCAGCCTGCAGGCATTTTTGTCCTTATGCACGAGATTAATGCTTTCTAGCAGATAAGATAGATTGATAGATAAGATAGATAAGTTTTGTAGATAAGGGGGCTGTACTAAAGGCTCTGGGTGCAACATCTGCCCGTTCCTTGTGCCACCCACATGAACCAGTCTAACGTGCTGGACTTCCTGCTGGTGTAGAGGTATCCACACTGGATGTACGGTGAGTTCAGTCTCCCTGAGTGGCAGGATCCCACACACCTGCAGGAGGTTCAGGGTGTCTGGCAGTGAGCGACATGTGGCTTGGCTGTGCGGTTGCATCACTGCTAAATCTGGTGCAAGACAGGCACCAGGAGGCCGGGGGAGATGAGGAGCTGCCTTCCCTTCTCAGTCACAGGTTGCTGTTGGAACAGTTCCACCGTAACATGAAACTGCACCGTGAGTCAGGAGCTCCTGAGCACTGATCATGGCCTCGATATGAACTCCATGGGTGGCTGCAAACAGCTTATTTAACTGCGGGTCGGTATCTGTTGAGTGTAAAGAGTAGTAGCCAGGCATTTGAGAGCACTGTAAGGTTCAATTAGATAATGTTTGCTAGGTATTAATTAAGTGTTTTCTTTTTGGAGTGTTGATTAAAAATGCCTGAATGTTGAATCATTGTGTTCTAGTTGTACACTGTCACATGTCCCAAAGGTTTATTCATCTGATAAACAACAGGGCACAGGTTTATTTATCCAAAAATCACGACAGCGCAGCATGTGGCCCCAGTGTCTTACTGAAACCTCTTATCATGATGCAATTATTTCTTTTTGAGGAGAGAAGCTTTGATTTGACGGAGCTGTTTTGCCTCCTGCAGATACAATCTGCCATGATTCAGTTTTGCATATGTAATATAAATATATTTGCCATGTCAAGGAGCAACCTCTGACTGAACATGGCTTTATTACTAAATCTGTATTAGTTTTTCTCAGTTGCAACAAAAAGATGTTGCAGAGATTGCATTTGGTATTCAAGACCTGTGCAGTAATTGCCTTGAAAGGGAGGGGCTTCAGACAAGTAAGTGACTATTAACAGCTGTGATTAAAGGCTGCAGTCCAGCCATGGTGGGAGATCTAGGCTGCTCCTCAGCATTTTTGTGGCAATAATCTGCCACAGCATTAGGCTGAGACATCGGAAAGTTTAAGGAGAAACAGGCCTTAAAAGACCTGCAGTGGGGATTGTGGGGCCAAAAAGGTGATGCCTTAAAAGGCAAACATATCCACATGAGATAAATGGATAGACCGGATCCGCCACTGAAAATTTCCAGGAGTAAGAAGCATCTCTGTGGTTTAGCATCTCTGTGGCTCAGGTTTATTTTGACTGAAATGCTGTGTCTAGATTCAGGCTTCTTTGCCAGATATATCTGCCTTCTTCACTAAGTCCTCTGTCTCGGTAAGGGGTTCAGCTTGTCCACTGTGATGGGTGTGTTTTGTATTTCATGCTTTTACTCAAGAGGATAACTGGCAAATCTTTGCACACCATCTTTCTCTCAGATCTCCATTACATGCACGACCCAATTTGCTTGTTACCAAATATGCTATTCTCACTGGTGTCTGTCTCACTGCACACTCTAAAGAAAGTGAATGTACTACCCATAGCAAAACAATGATGCTTAGTTTGACATTTGAGCAATTGGAAACCTGGCTGTGCATTAAACTCTCTTTGGTCATTCTTCACTTATGCCTTTGTGAAATTTAGAGTTATATCAGTGAAATCCCACAGAGGTCAAGAAGGTACCCAAACATTCACAGCAACTACCCAGAGGCAATGCATATGCCAGCAGCTTAATGTTCCACCAGTGAGATGTGCATAACTTTTCAAAGCCCTGACAGTCTAAGAAGTGAACTTCTGGTGGCTCCATATCTCTTCTTTTTATCTTGTTCTGTACAAAAGGTTCATGGTAAATGTCCCAGATTTTAAAGTTGACATAAACTGCTTTATGTCTGGGATGTGTAAGGCTAGATGTTTAAATGTATAAAATCAGACTAAGTTATGCCAAACTCGAATTTATGCAATCCTTTATTTATTTTACTTGTGCAAGTGCTTATTTTGCATGCATACATTTACAATACAAATGCAACTTGAGTGTGTTCATATGAAAATGTGGCATTGTGTAGGAATTTATGTGCAATGATACATACTATTTTCAAGAAAAAACTTGTAATGATGATCATCTCTTTCAAGTACAAACTGCTCTTAAACCAAGAAAAGTGGGTCTATATGAAGAGGTTCATTTGATAAGTGATACATTTGATAAAATGCAGATACCTGCTGAGGAAATAGCCTGTTTATAGAAATAGAGTTATACATCAACCCAGCTATCTGACAGAAAGTAATAAAAGTTGATTGCCTGCAAGGTCGTCTGTGACTCAGAAATTAGACAGAATATGGACTGTGGAAGTCAGCTGTGAGGCTATGACAGAGAACAATGCATACTTCAGTGAATCCTCCCCAAAAGATGCGTCAAATATCACACCTTTCTCAAGAAAGAAGAGATTCAGGAGGTGAAGAAAATATCAAGCATTGTACTTCACTGCATAATACGCACAACTGGCTTAACAGGCTTTTCACAATGTGATATTTCTAACATTTTAGTGCTATGTTGGTTAGTTGCACATGCATCCAAATAGATATGGATATATATTCTAATTTGTAAAAATGTGACAGCATACTTCATTTGGAAAAGCAGCAGATTTAGCTTAAAGTTACACTGCTGTTTCTTTTATCAGTTTTTAATGAGGCACTAGGCAGAACCCATACTGAAATCCACAGCCGTTGGCTGACACATACAATGTCTGCTGCTTAATGAAGGAGTAAATTGTATCATAAATCTCCTATTTTTATTGCCATTTCTTTGTATGAGGAGTGCAAATCACCTTTCGAACTTATCCATTTCTGCTGTCTCCTTCTTCATATATTATCTATGTGTATTGTAAAGGATACCACAAAAGGATGTCAGTTGTCCAAGACCAAATATCAAAGATGCTGTCAGATCTTCTGGTTATATGTTTTAGGGATGACATTTGAAGGAATAACTGAGGACCAAATGCATATTATCATTAAAAACAAGTCCAAAAATATAAGGGGAAACGAAAAAAAAAGTAGAAAGTAAAGTTTCACAGAACAAAAAATTTATCCCTGAGAGACATGTCCATGCCTTGATTGGTGTGTATCTTAAAAGAGGTGCTTCACCTTATTAGAGCCTGGGGATTTTCCAGTATTAAAATGAGTATCTATCCTGTGAGGAATCCAGCACCTCTGTGCACCTTTTTTTAGTGGTTACCTTATATTTATAACACTTCTTTCACTAACCCAACATTTTGACTTGTATGGAATCCCTTGCCCTGAGCTAAAAAATGTTTCAGTATACGTCTGATAATGTGGAACAAAAGAAATCTCATTATTTTCAGTGGGACGCTTGTAATGCTCAACTGGTCATCATTGCCTGAGACTTTTCTGCTCTACTGATGTGTGCAACCTCATCCTGAGTGAAATAATCCACTGTGTCTTGAATCTTGTCTTCTGTCTTGTTTTGCCTTGTGTTTGCTGAAGCAGATAAGATCTATGCACCATGCAATATCCATTTTTAAACTCTGAAGTCTTGGTGCTTCTCTTAGTTTTTTGGGGGGCCTTTGTTGTATGGGAGTTTTTTGTTTGTTTGTTTGTTTGTTTTT